CCCTGCACAGGGGACTGTCCTTCGCATTGATTATGAATAGTTGTCGGTTCAGGGCTAGATGTCCTGTAATAGTTCCGACAACCATTCTGATTTCCGGTCTGCTAAGACTGATCAGTCTGCAGGTGAGTCGTGGTGTGACTTGATTCAGCACCAGTTTGGACTGTCTGCAGCCGGGTGAGTTTTTCCACCTCCGGTTGTGTGCTTCACAGGTCCGTTGCCTGACCCAGCATCGTATTTGGTTAAACGATATAGGCAGGAGTGGGGTTGGGCCAGAGGTTGGGGTTGCCGAGCCCCTCCTTGCCAACTCATCTGCGGCATCGTTCCCGTGTGAGTTACTGTGCCTTTTAATCCATTGGAGGAGTACCCCATTGAATATAGCGAGCTGTTCCAGTGCTTGGCATTCGAAGACAATACCAGAGGTCATTGTGTTGCCCTCCAATGCCTTTAAGACGGCCATGCTGTCGGATATTATTCGGATGTTGTAGTCCTTGATACCCCTTGACATGGCCGTTGTGGCAGCGTAAGTTATTGCCACACATTCACATTGAAATATGGAAATGTGTTGGCCTAACGCTAGTGATATGTTTATATTTAGGTTTTGCGAGAAAACTCCGGCTCCAGTTCCTGACCTAGTCTTGGAACCGTCCGTGTAAATTCGGACTTCGTTAATGCTGGATTGATCTCGGTCATTTCCATGTATCTGGATGTAGTATCTTCTTGTGAAGATATGGTGTTTTGGGATTCTATCGCATGGAGCTGCTATCAGTGGTTCGTATTCCACCAATTGATCCCATAATTTGGAGTGCGATCCCTCACTTTTGTGCCATAGACCCAGGTGTTTGAGTCTAATGATCGCCATGGCGGCCTCCTGCTGTATGAATAGATCCAGGGGTGGCAGACCAAGAGCCACCTCCAGTGCGGCAGTAGGCGTTGTGCGCATACAGCCAGTGACCGCGGAGCATGGGAATCGCTGGAATTGCTGCAGTTTGTTTATGACAGTGCTTAGCTTTGTTCTCTGCCACCAGACAACAGCACCGTAAGTGATTAATGGTCTTATGACTGTCCTGTATAGCCATAAAGTAATTTTGGGTGATAGTCCCCAGCTTTTGCCGAGTAGCCGCTTGCATTGGCAGAAAATAATGCAGGCTTTATTCAGTTTTTCATCGAGGTGCTTATTCCACAGGAGTTTACTGTCCAGTATTACTCCTAGGTATTTGACCTCTTTGGTAAGAGTAAGTTGTGTTCCAAATAGCTTGGGAAGTCTGAGATTTCCTAGGCTGCGTTTGTTTGTGAACATGATCATCTCTGTTTTGGATGGGTTCACTGTCAAGTTGTGTGCTACGCACCATTGTTCCACGATCTTCAGTGCAAGTCTCATTTGATCGCATGTAATGCTCTCAAAAGGACCGCTGATGAGAATAGTAAGATCGTCTGCATAGCCTATTGTGAGGAATCTTTGGTCATTAAGTTGTGCGATGAGCTCATCCACAACAATGTTCCATAGAAGGGGGGAGAGTACACCGCCCTGGGGGCAACCTCTAGCCACCACTGCTCTAGTCACTTCGCTCACAGTGAATTGAATAGCTCTATATCTTAGCATGCTGTCGATCCACCCTGAGATTGTGGAATCTACACCATGCCTAGACAGAGCTTGGCTAATGCTGGTGAAGTTGGTCTTGTCAAAGGCTCCCTCGATATCGATAAAGGTGGCCAGTGTTGACCTTTTGTGATTTAGATTGTCTTCTATATATGAAACAACTCGATGTAGGGCAGATTCTGTTGATTTACCCATCGAGTATGCGTGTTGATTTAGGTGTAGAGGGTGACTGACTAACGCAGTTTCCCTGATTTCCCTATCTATTAGCCTCCCGAGAACCTTTAGTAAGAAAGATGTGAGACTAATAGGTCGGTGTGATTTGGGTTGTGTGTAGTCACCTTTACCAGGTTTGGGGATGAAGACTACTTTAACTTCTCTCCATTTCAAGGGGATGTACTGATGCGCCAGGCAGCCCCTATAAATTTTTACAAGATGGGTCAGTAGTGTCATATCACACCATCTCAGTAGGCCTGGGAAGACACCATTTAGTCCTGGCGCCTTGAATGGTAGGAAGCTGTTAATTGCCCATCTTAGTTTGTCATGGTTGACAACTTGGCCGTATCCCAGTCTGTATCATCTGGTGGGTTTTCCCATCTGTCTTCCCATTTTTCCATCACATCTGATATGCGACTTCCAGGGAAGTGTGTTTTTAATAACAACTCTGAGGCTTCCGAGTCTGTTTTGGTATACTCACCATCAGGCTTCTTCAGTGAGCCAAGATTGTGTTCGCCTCTACTACACAGTATGTTTTTGACTCTATTACCCTGGTTGTTGTTCTCTATGTTAGTACAGAAGTTTCTCCAGCACTCAGTTTTCCTGGTTCTGATTCTCTCCTTATATTGTTGTCGGGCCTGCGTGTAGGCATCCCAATGTTGGTCTAATCGCGAGTTTTTTGCTTTATTGAACAACTTTCTCACTTTACGACGTAGTCTTTCCAGTTCCGGACCCCACCATTGGTGGTTTGTTCTGTGGTCCAGTTCTGGGTGTGGAAAGTGGGCATGTTTGTTCAAAGCAATCGATCAGTGTCTGTGTAAGGTTGACAACATGACTGTCAATGTCCTTAACAGTCCCCGTAGCGTATCTTGGGTTGATGCTTCGCAGTTTCTCCGCAGTAAGATGTTCATACCGTTTCCGGTCCATTGTGCGGGGATTCCGTCGGGGATCGGGTAGTTTAAGTTTCATTTCAAAGTTAAATTTGATCCAGCGATGGTCTGAGCACGATGCTTCGTTCGAAACATGCCAGTTCGATATGTGTTGCGATGCGTGCTCACTTGCTAATGTAAGATCAATTATAGTTTGGGCCCTGGATGTGACAAATATCGGCTCCGAGCCCACGTTGATAATGTTAAGGTTAGTTGATAATAGGAACGATTCAAAGTCGGTGACAAAAGCACTAAATCTATCAAACAAAGGTCCCTTGTATGACGCGACAAATCTTTAAAAAACCTGAAGAGAAAATATGTATTGGGCCCTAGCTAGTGACCAACCCGGTCTGAGCAGTACTGCTTCTGAAAGATTTATAATTGAAGGAGACCGAGACCAACCCGGTCCGAGCAGTACTGCTTCTGAAAGATTTATAATTGAAGGAGACCGAGATCTCGTTAGTTCAAATAATTTTGCAAAACATTTCGTAATATTGTATAACGCAGTCATAGTTTGAATACAGTTGTTTCATCTGATTATTATACGTATACTACAGAAGATACGCGTCGAGCGAGCGCGTAGGTACACGCGCGATCGTTTTCGATGTGAGGGGAGCGGGCAGGGGAGCGCGGGTGAATTCTTAAATTTTGCTGGCTTTATACGCGCTCTTAAGGATTTTTTGATATTTAAACGCTAACATTTCAGTTCAAATAAAATTATGTATGGGGACCTGCCATTGTCCTTTGACGTTAAATATATGATGCTTTCAATTCGACCTAAAAAGTTAAGTGTGTGAGTGCGCATGTGGTGTGTGTGTGTAATATGTAAATTTAGAATACCTAAAAGGTGGAGTACTTATGAACTAAGAAGTAAATGAATATAGATATATAAGAGCACACAAAAATAAATTAAAACATAAACATAGTTGATCCGATATAGCTCATTTCCTCGCGTGGGTAAAGTACCTGAGTTTTCTCAGAAGTCAAATAAAATAAGATTTCAAATATTGGGTTATTAATTAGTTGTAGCCATTGATATTGTTAGGTGTTGATTGTAATCGGCTACTATAATATATAATTAAAACAACGGTATCGAGTAATTAGTTATTATAACTTACTAATTTATCTTTCACTTTTTACTACTCTTTCATAGTGTCGTTTGAAGTAAGCTTAACTTTTTTAAATGTTTTTTTTTCTATTTTTAATAAAATATAGTTATAGATAGATACTTATTGTAATGTATGTTACCAAACTGCAGTACGTAAAAGTATTAAGTCTTAATAAGTTTAAGATAGTCTAAGGTGGTAATATTTTGAGTTTGCCTAGCAACTTTCTGCACTTGATCAATAAGTTATAAAATAACCGGACAAGTCGGCGTCTGTCTTGCGCATATAGCGTTCCATATAAACTTGTATGTAGCTAGTTAGTCTATCTTGCCAATGATAGTAATGACATATAGGCATTTGATGTTAATTTCAACTTGATACTCTAAGCGATTCTGATAAAAATGATTTCGAGAAAACGTGATTCTAAAGGTTTCTCTTACTGACATTCTGGTCATCAGATCCAGATTGGCTGACAATGGGATCTTTTGAGCATACCCTTTTATACATTTTTTAAATAGTACACTAGATTATAGGATTATAGGTAAACATTCGTAAAAATACACACAGTAAAACTTAGAACCTCTTCCTTCACTGAAGTCGATTAACAGCCTATCATCCTCTAGCCCAGAGAAACCCACCAAGATTACTAACATACACACATAACAATAACATAATGGGAAAACAACCTTTAATATAAATACTAGCACAGTTTAGAAGGTCTGCATATGACCCAAAATCTGTGAAAGAAAATAACGAAGACATGACAATTTAATTACCTTTCACATTTATAACACTAATGAGGATATCTCAACGCTGAATCTCTAAAGATGACGCATGATGAAATGTGAATGTAAACAATAATTAATACGGTTCTTCCCTCTTTTAGCACGCCATATTATCTTGAGTAAAGAACCTCTATTTCCTTAAAAACTCATATAAAAGCCGAAGCATAAGAAACCAGTTATCATTCAAAGACAAAACTCAATACAGTCAATATGTATAAACTACTGATAATTCTGGTCGTTTTCGCTTCAGTGTTTGTTTATGAGACGTCATGCCAAAGATTCATTCTGCCAACATATCGACCACCTCCAAAGAGACCTGTGCTGATAAGACTAAGAAGATCCAATGATGAACCTCAGTGGCTTTTTAAAGGTGATGATTTCCCCAAAGCACCAGCAACAGGTGATCATCCATTCCTGCCGAAGTACATCGATGATATCAAATTGGATCCAAATAGAAGAGTAGCCCGCAGTTTGGGTACTCCTAGGGCTTCAAGGGGAGGTAGCACCCGTCAGTCTTCAAGCCACGACACAGGACCGACCCATCCTGGATATAATCGTCGTAATGCAAGAAGCCTAGGCCCAAGTAGGCTGCCTACTCTACCTCCGTTTAAGCCTCAGCTTCCAGGACCCAAGTCTCCTTTTGACCCTAAACCAGTACGGTTTCCTATTCTGGCCAGACATTAAGCTGCACGAGAGGTATAATTTATAATGCATATTACTTTTTTTTTTGTTTATCTGTTTGTGAAATTTCCGTGATCGATTTGATCAATTTTTTGTCTCTTGTCTGACAAATTGTAGGACTTACCTTTAAAACAACTATGGGATTTTTTATATACTATTGTATGTATAAAAAATGTGAAGTTTATGAAAACATTAATAGTTTTGATTGTGATATTAATAATAATAAAGATTTTCTTTTTAAATATTAGGTTTAATATCTGTTTTATTATTTAACAAGTATCGTAGTGATAATCACTTTCGCTACCAATCTGCATATTACACTGCACTTTATCGGTAGGTACTCTGTTCATAAACTCATCAATGCCTCTCGATTGTAATCGCAAATCGTTACGGGTTCAAGGACACTTTATAACAGCTTAGTAAATGATTTGTTCGATGTTGTCCTTCCTCACTGATGTTGATATACAATACACGAGAATGGTAGGTTCCTCAATACTTATAGTAAACAAATAAAAAAAAATATTGACACAAGTTACTTACATTATTATAACAGTTAGGCACAGACTTTGGATTTTTATTACATTTGTACATTGATATAATACTTACATAGATGAGTAATTACCGCCTAAAATCGTTGCTACTGCACATATGTCCACAGGCATATGCGTAGCAAACGTCAATTCATTATTCAATGTGGCGTCAACCGAGTTGAACATAGCGACACATGACAGTAACAATCGCCAAAATGGCTAAATGCGTAGTGAAAGAATGCGATTCAAGGTCAGAAAACATTAATAAATCATGCGGAATTACTTTTCACGTGTAAGTTTATGGTTTTTGTCTTGATAATATCGTAAATAAGGCTATAATTGAAATAAAACACTGATAATTGTAATTTAGAATCAGTGTTACCATTAAAAAATCATTTTGGTTTTCCCACATTAGTGGGAGAATTTATAATTTATGAAATAATATGCTTTATACTGTTTTTAAACATTTTGCCAATAATAATAAAATATAGGAAGAACGGTAGTTGTTAGGGCTGGACCGATCCCTTTTTTTAGGGACCCGTTGAACGTTCACTGCGAGCTTGGCAGAAGTGCCAAGCTCGCAGTGCTGGAGACTTTTGTACAAAAAAATTAATTCATTGTTTTTCTTAATTTATTATCAATTTTAAATAATAATTGTACAAAATAATAATAAGATACAGAAGGCAGTCCTCCTTGACACGGCTCGTATAGTGAGGAGGTTCCTATCTTTGCAGTCCTAACCACTGGTGTCCTGGTACCTGTACCCGATGTCGGTGGTCTACTATTTTTTATATTTTTAAATGTATTTTTATTTCTTTTGTAATATATTTAAAAATGTAATTAATATGTATATAAAATTTAATAAAGAGAATAATAATAAATGTTTATCATAAAAATAAAAATATAAAACAAAAAAGTAAATAAACATAAATAAATTTTTTTATAAAATATTTTTTTTTTTCTTATTTGTTTTTTAAATTATAATAGAATTTGCAATACACCCTGGGGATTATTTATTATCAGTACAAGTTGATCATTCACTTTTATTATTAAATGCTATTATTTTTACATACGTAAATACGATATACGATCGATACACTCTTATTTTTACATACGTAAAAATAAGAGTGTATCATGAAAGTAAAATATCCACACAAACTTATAAAAAAGAGTCTAAAAGACAATTGTATACAAAACTGATGCTTCACAGCGCAGTTTGATTTTACACTGAATATAAACCCTTTTAACCAAATATTTCCAGTTATTTTATTATTTATACCTATTCTATTCAATTCGAAATATATTATTTAGAATATTTAAATTAATTTATTTTATTACAAAATTGTTTTAAAAAAAAATTGTTTCTTAGTTGTTATGGGTAAAATTTCATACGGTAGTCAACACTGGCCCACCATCGTAAAGTTATATCTTTGTCTTTGTCTAATCCGAGCGATGGTATTGTTCTTGTCTCGCGTGTAAATGAGACATAAATATGTTTACTTTCAAATGTTTAGTGGTATCAAAGCTACGTCGTCAAAGTTCAAAAGTGGTTACACTTTTTTCGACGTGTGATAATGAGGTTTGCTTCTCTAGTGTTGTTTTAACTCAATGCATTTGTACTGATACTGATTCTCAAGCTAGGTCGGAAGTCTGTATTGAGACAGTGTTCAGTCGCACAAAAGGTAGCTAGTACTGTTTGTAGTTGCATAAGATCGCTTTTTACACTTTATTAAGTTACTATAATTGAGAAATTATATATTTGTCGTTGTTTATGAGTCAGGGGGTAGTGGTGTGTAATGTGTGTGTATGTGTGTAACTGGTCTGTGTGTCTAAGTGTGTGAGTGGATGTATGTGTGAGTGTGTGTTTGCGTGTGTCTATATGTGTGTGAGTAAATCGGGATTTGTAGGATTTGATTCACCTTTCAACTTCACGACTACCCATTGAAACGAAATTTAGTTTCTTATTAATTTGTTATATAATTTAGCACTTATAAAGCGTGTTTGTCTTCTCGCGAAGGAGGTTCTGCAAGCCACACGAGAGCACACAGATGATAACCTGCGTCTGTTTAGGTCTGGGTGGGGCACATCTCGATGCTTTCTGAGGACAGCTTTCAAGATGAATAGCTGTCGAACTGAGAAGACCTTGCAGTTTGTACATAGGCTCACAGTCGGGTATCTGTAGGGCTTCCTGGTTATTTCCGGCACCTTTAGCACCGCTCTCTGTGCCTCTCTAATTTAATAAGGTGCGTTTTGGCTGTTCCACCCCAGACTGTGATGCTATATTGTATCACAGACTGGAATAGAGCCAGATAGGATAGTGTGAGTTTCTCGTATAGTAGTATCTCGCAAGGTTTTAAAAACATAAATCAATTACTCGCCTTACTCTTACTGGGACTAAGTCTATCTGCTTGTTGCATTTCAGCCCGTGGTCGGTTTGTACACCCAAATATTTAACATCTTCGATCCGTGTAAGTTCTAAGCAGTCGCATACAGTGCGTTGTGTAAGTGTGAGACTGAATAAATAACTTCTTATCAGGGTCATGAATGTTGCTGAGAGAAAATAGCTATGTAGTTGGTATTTGTTAGATTTAGTGTTAAGAGGTTATTTGTTAGCCACCTCATATCTCTGAATAATGAGTGTTCAGCTTACTCCTTGTCAATTTGGTAGTTAAGACCCCAAACAAGAATAAGTTGGGGTATCAACTGCATAGGTAAAGATTTTTATATTAGGTAATGGGATAGTCAAACAAAATCTTAGTATTTAGATCTTATTATTATTCTTCTTATTTAAAAAAGACAACTACTGCCAGGCTCAGAACAACAATTCGTGGATCACACAAAGTGTCGTCCCATGTGGGGATCGAACCCACAATACTCAGCGTAGTAGTAAGTGGCGTGGCGACCGCTTAAACCACTACGCTATCGGTGCAGTCAGTGGACTTAGGATTTTTAATCAATTATTAGGGCTTTGTATTACTACTATTGTATACTTACCTTTTTTTTTTTTTTTTTTCCGTGCGGAAATCCCCTCGGATACCACCTGTCGGTGGCATGTCGGACACGAACCGACTAAAACCGCACGCCTTCGCCGGGTACTAATAGCCGGGGAACCAGGTATACCCTAGAAAGGAAGGCCCTGGTGCCCCGACATACCTCGGGTCATCTACAGACGAGTAGACGACCCCCGCCCCGTGTGGGAACCCCATGTTCCCTGTGCTCCCTGGAAGCGAGCGCGCTTCGCAACGCGCTCGCCGCCACCCCGGCCTGCTTCTGCTAGGGTGACAGATGGCCTCACCTGTCACCCCCAGGCCTGCGCTTATGGAGGACGAAGGTCGTTCTGCGACCTCCGGCGCCTGAGTCGCCTGCGCTGCCTGGCCCGTGCCCGGGCCTGGCGGGCCGGGAGAGTTCTAAACCTCTCCCGGTCCCGCTCCGCCGTCTCCTTCGCGAGCATAACTTGCTCGCAGAAGGAGACGGCAGAGTTCCACGCACTCTCGCTCCGCACGATAGCCGCAATCAGGCTATCGAGCGAGAGAACTCCCACTCCGATGGCCGCCACGAGGTCTCGCCTCTGCTCAACCCACGCCGGGCACTCTGCCAGCGTGTGGAGAGCCGTGTCCACGGTCTGGCCATCGCAGTGGTGGCACTCAGGCGTTGGCTCCTTGCGGATCAGACACAGGTGATCTCCGAAACATCCCTTCCCAGTGATCACCTGCGTCAATCGGTATGAGAGGGTCCCGTGACGCCTCTCGAGCCAATCCTCCATAACGGGTCTTACCGCCGCAATGACGGCGTGCCCGGCGCTCGGTTGCCCGAGTCGTTCCCTCCACTCCCCTATGATGACCTGGCGGAGTTGGGATTTCCGGTCATCGATTTCTCGAATCTCGGGGTATCGACACAACTCCTGCGCCTCCTTGCGCCACTGATACAGTGCTGCAAGGGCTCTCGCCTCCAGGTCCCACGGTGGAGTTCCGGCCAGGAGACTCGCCGCCTCGAAGGAGATCGTGCGGTACCCCCTTATGATCCTGATGGCCAGCATTCGCTGCGGTCGCCGCAGTATCGCGAACCGG